AAAAATGCGCCTTCCCCCTTCAAAACAACAAAATAACAATAAAACTAAAATCCTTAGCATCGAAGACGAGGTCGGTTGCCCTTTTATTTTGGAGTCCCCGACTTTTTGCTTCCCAACGCAGTAACAGTCCTAGTATTGCTCGAGCTTGGGGGCTTGAGGCGAGGGGGTGAGGGTCTGCCCCCCGACACACACAGTTTGCACAGAATTTGTTAGAATTGGGGATGGGGGTAGAGGCGCCTGCCTTCGCGGGCGGAGGCTGGAGCCCTCGGGCTGTATACCTGCTTCTCCCACACCTGTCTCCTGTGCTCAGAACTGCCCCTTGGTTACTGTATACCGGTAAAAAGGCGTCCCCACCCCACCCCACCCCCTACGGCGGGAACAAGGGTTCGCCTAGAACCGGGACGAATGTTCTTCGCTCGTATTGTGCCTTTCCCGCCTCCCCTCCCCCGGCTGCAGCTCCCGCCTCCCCCCGCGCTGCACCCCAGTTGTTGGCTGCAGCCTGCGAGCAGTTCCCGTCAATCCCTCCTCCCTTTTCACAGGATGTCCATATTAGGACATCTGCGTCAGCAGGTTTCCACGGCCGGTCCCTGCTGTCGTGGGGGGAGCCATCCCTGCAGTCCCTCATCCTAGGGGGGTCTAAGGGACCCCTAGCACCCAGATTGCTAAATAATCATAAGACAAGGAAACGCAACCAGACCGGGGACCGGAAAGGGAGCTGCGAGAGCGGCAGGGGCAACCAGGAGGCCGCAGAGAGGTTCAGGCTCTTGCGCCACCCCTCCGGCGCGGCAATGGTTGCGCTGTGACGTCATTGACTCATTCATAAAATGCTGCGGCTCCTCGTACTCCAACCGCATCTGCAGCAAGCAGCCCAAGAGTGGAGACAGAGCCGGCGGCGGCGCAGCAAGAGAGCAGTGACCGCGCTCCCACCCAGCTCTGCCCCAAAGCTGCTAACCTGCCTCTATCCCCTAGCCCTTCGTCTCGGCTTTGCCTGACCGCGACCATGATGTTCTCAGGCTTCAATACGGACTACGAGGCGTCCTCGTCCCGCTGTAGCAGCGCCTCCCCGGCCGGGGACAGTCTCTCTTACTACCACTCACCGGCCGACTCCTTCTCCAGCATGGGCTCTCCTGTCAATGCGCAGGTAAGGCTGGCTCCGCGCCACCGCGGGGACGGGGATTCGGGGTCACCGGGGAGGAGACACCGGACGGGAAGCGCAGTAAGATGAGTAGGGGACTCCTCTTGAGTCGGGGACTCCTTTTGGGCCGGGAGGGAGGCTGCCCCGGCTGGAGCAGCCTTATTTTGGGAGCCCTAGACTTGTTGGGAGCGCACACGCGCTTGTCAAAGTTAGAATTGCTTCTCCTTTCCCGCGGCAGGCTCTTTCTGATCCGCCCCCGGCCCGCGCGCTCTGACTGGTCTCTGGTACCAGTTGGGGCAAACCCGTCCCAAGCAAAGACTGGCTAACTAGAGCCTGACTCCTCCAGGGAGGCGGCAAAAAGCGGCAACCCCCCCTCCGCTCCCAGCCTGAAGCAGCGACGGGGAAGGAGGGCGCAGCAGGCGGGTGTGTAAGGCAGTTTCATTGATAAAAAGCGAGTTCATTCAGGAGACTCCGGAGCGGCGCCTGCGTCAGCGCAGACGTCAGGGATATTTATAACAAACCCCCTTTCAAGCCAGTGATGCTGAAGGGATAACGGGAACGCAGCAGCGGGATGTAGGAGAAAGGCACTGCGCTGCGCCCCGGAATTCTTGGCGGAAAAGGGGAAGACCTTTCATCCAGGATGAGGGGAATATAAAAAGACATGAGCAGTCCCCGGCAGGACCATGTCTCCTCCCTCTCTCTCCCTGCTGCATGCGGCACTGGGAAACTCACCTCACCTGCGTCCCGAACCTGCTCGCTCACGTCAGCTTCTCCTTCCTGTTTTGTTCTAGGACTTTTGCACGGATCTGGCGTCCTCCAGTGCCAACTTCATCCCAACTGTGACTGCCATCTCGACCAGCCCGGACCTGCAGTGGCTGGTGCAGCCCACTCTAGTCTCCTCGGTGGCCCCATCCCAGACCAGAGGCCCCCACCCCTACAGGGTCCCCGCCCCCTCAGCGGGGCCTTACTCCAGGGCTGGAGTCCTGAAGACCGTGACAGGAGGCAGAGCTCAGAGCATTGGCAGGAGGGGCAAGGTGGAACAGGTGAGTCCTTCCGCACCTTCTCTGTGTTTTAGGGGTAGGGAGTGGGGGGAGGGCTCTGCACTGGTGTAGATGGAGAGCGCAGTGGGTAGGGGGAAGTCAATGAAGGAACTGACTACACATCCTGAACAGGGAACTCTGGCTCCAAGCCCACTCCATCTGGAGTCAGGCTCTTGATAATCACACCCCCAGGAGTACCCTAATAGTTCCTTCCCTAAGGGGTCCCTATCTCATGCTTTTACACTGGGCTCTTCTTTATTCTCTTGCTGAACATCTTATTTGAAATGCAAGTCACAGCCACCCTGAAGCCGCAGGTTAGGAAGACATGGCTTCGCAGACAAGGGGTCAGGAAGCTGGGAAGTGGCAGGAGCCAGTTCCACTGGGGCAGGTGAATGGAGCTCATGGCAGACGCTGTTGCTGACTGCTGGTCTTTTTTCCTTCCAGTTGTCCCCAGAAGAAGAAGAGAAAAGGCGCATCCGAAGGGAAAGGAATAAGATGGCTGCAGCCAAGTGCCGGAATCGGAGGAGGGAGCTGACTGACACGCTCCAAGCGGTAGGTAGAGTTCATGGGTTGCTCCTTGTCAAAACTTCAGGGGAAAGTTGGAGAACTGGGCATCAAGGAGCAGTGTCCTTGAGCAAGACCGTGTCTCATGCGTTGCTTTATCCCGCTGTGTACAGGAGACAGACCAACTCGAAGACGAGAAGTCTGCTTTGCAGACTGAGATTGCCAACCTGCTGAAGGAGAAGGAAAAATTGGAGTTCATCCTGGCAGCTCACCGACCTGCCTGCAAGATGCCCAATGACCTGGGCTTCCCAGAAGAGATGTCTGTGGCTTCCCTCGATCTGAGTGGAGGCCTGCCTGAGGCTGCCACCCCTGAGTCCGAGGAGGCCTTCGCCTTGCCCCTCCTCAACGACCCGGAGCCCAAGCCTGCAGTGGAGCCCATCAAAAACACACGCAGCACGGAGCTGAAGGCTGAGCCCTTCGATGACTTCCTGTTCCCAGCATCGTCCAGGCCCAGCGGCTCTGAGACCTCTCGCTCTGTGCCAGACATGGACCTGTCTGGTTCCTTCTATGCAGCAGACTGGGAGCCCCTGCACGGTGGCTCTCTGGGGCTGGGGCCCATGGCCACAGAGCTGGAGCCACTGTGCACCCCGGTGGTCACCTGTACTCCCAGCTGCACTACTTACACGTCTTCCTTTGTCTTCACCTACCCCGAGGCTGACTCCTTCCCCAGCTGTGCGGCTGCCCACCGTAAGGGCAGCAGCAGCAACGAGCCCTCCTCTGATTCGCTCAGCTCACCCACGCTGCTGGCCCTGTGAGCAGGCGAGGCGGGGAGGCAGCAGGCACACACCAGTGCCGCTGTCCTGAGCTGGTGCATTACAGAGAGGAGAAACACATCTTCCCTCGAGGGTTCCCGTAGACCTAGGGAGGACCTTTTCTGTGCGTGAAACACACCAGGCTGTGGGCCTCAGAGGACTTGAAAGCATCCACGGGTGGACTCAAGTCTTTACCTCTTTCGGAGATGTAGCAAAACGCATGGCGTGTGTATTGTTCCCAGTGACACATCTGAGAGCTGGTAGTTAGTAGCATGTGGAGCCAGGCCTGGGTCTGTGTCTCTTTTTCTCTTTAGTCTTCTCATAGCATTAACTAATCTATTGGGTTCGTTATTGGAATTAACCTGGTGCTGGATATTTTCAAATTGTATCTAGTGCAGCTGATTTTAACAATAACTACTGTGTTCCTGGCAATAGTGTGTTCTGATTAGCAATGACCAATATTAAACTAAGAAAAGATAGGACTTTATTTTCTAGTAGATAGAAGTTAAATAGCGATATCCATGTACTGTAGTTTTTCTTCAACATCAATGTTCATTGTAATGTTACTGATCATGCATTGTTGAGGTGGAATGATTGTTCTGACATTAACAGTTTTCCATGAAAACGTTTTATTGTGTTTTTAATTTATTTATTAAGATGGATTCTCAGATATTTATATTTTTATTTTATTTTTTTCTACCTTGAGGTCTTTTGACATGTGGAAAGTGAATCTGAATGAAAAATTTAAGCATCGTTTGCTTATTGTTCAAAGACATTGTCAATAAAAGCATTTAAGTCGAATGCGACCAACCTCGTGCTCTTTTCATTTTGGAAGTTTGGTACGATTCTGAAAGGTATCGGAGACCAGTTTGTCAAGAAGGGTAGCTTCTGGAGGGGGACACACCCCTTTGTTTGATCTCTTATCAAAGAGGAGAAGGAAACTCTAGAGCTGTTGCTGGAATATGTTATAAATACCAGGAGTCTTCCCAGTGCACTACTACGATTCTCTACCTATAGCTTCTGAGGGTGGGAACCTGCTCTGAGATAGCTTTTGTGAGTACATGTCTTCCTGCTTCTTTTTCTGTTTTGAAAGTCAAAGGGATGAATATTTAAATCTAGTTATGCTAATATTAAATTTAAATGTCTTGATCTTAAAGGAACCCTTTTAACAAATAAAATTTAGCTTTGCACAACCTACTTTGACTTTTTAATCCAACACCATCATGTGAAGGGTTACCTCCACTTTGAAGGTGAGCAAACTGAAGAATGGTTAGAATGAATGACTTTCTCAATGTCTCACTATTGGGATTGGAATCTTCCTCACTCATTATCCTATCGACCAGGATGAACTACCTCTTAAAAATTAAAAAAAAATTTTTTTTTTTTATTGATTTCAGAGAGAGGAAGGGAGAGGGAGAGAGGGATAGAAACATCAATGATAAGAATCACCTGCCTCTTGCATGCCCCCTACTGGGGATTGAGCCTGCAACTGGGGCATGAGCCCTGACTGGGAATGAAACTGTGACCTCCTGGTTCGTGGGTCTACGCTCAACCACTGAGACATACAGGTCGGGCTGAACTCTCTCTTAATACTTGGTTAAAAATTTTTTTTCATTTGGTTAGAACCCCCCCACCCCCTGCCCCGCGACCTTTTCCATCCTTAACTCTAACATACATTGATTTAGTTGGATTCTTTTTCTTCTCAGAAAGAAAGGAGGTTGTTGCCCTACCCCTTAGTAATAAATACATTCTACTTTAAAAATTTCTTTAACATCATATGCCTGACATACAGGTTGGGCTGAACTCTCTCTTAATACTTGGTTAAAAAAATTTTTTTCATTTGGTTAGAACTCCCCCACCCCCTGCCCCGTGACCTTTTCCATCCTTAACTCTAACATACATTGATTTAGTTGGATTATTTTCCTTCTCAGAAAGAAAGGAGGTTGTTGCCCTACCCCTTAGTAATAAATACATTGTACTTTAAAAATTTCTTTAACATCATATGCCTGCCATTTAGTTTACACTGGGGGAAGAAAAGTTGGCTCTGAGTATTTGAAAGCGATCTCAAACTGTACAAATAATGGTTGATCATTTGGTAAATAAAAGTTACATAACAGCTTAATGAGAAGTCAGCATGACTCTGAATAAGCTTTACCCTAGAAGTTTATCATCTTAAAGAAGAACATGACCTTTGTCTGGGACACCTCTGGTAATGGGGCACTTACACGCACAGGCACAGCACAAAGCACGCAGGTGGTGCCCTTCCTCCCCGGCGCTCAGGTGTCCTGTCGGCACCAGCTTGGAAGCCAGGGACCATGTTTGCACACATGCTGGGTGCAGAGCAGCTTCGGTGCCAGCCTTCTAATGCTTTGGCGATAATGAAAATCACTGGGTGGTTACGGGTGTCACACTCAGTCAAACCGAAAGTTTTAATTTAAAATGACAATTCCATTGAGGTTGATGTTCTTACCTGTCATCTCCCTGCTTTTTACATAATAATTGGCATTTCAAAGCAACTGGCTTTAGGCTCTTAAGAGCACTGATATATCACACACCACTTGCATAGTATGTTTTCCTGTCTGGCAATAATAAAGACTCCCTGTTTGCTGCTCAGAGGGTAAATTTTCTGTAGCCTTTAAATATGACCTAAACTAAATACAGAATTGCTGTCTTATAACTGACACCCAGTTCTGAAATAACAAGGTGATATACCCTGTAAGGACACCAGCTGGCTCCCTTCCATGTACAATAATAACAACCCATGGAAGATTTCCCAGATGGATAAAGGAGGCTGGACCTCTAGCGCCGGACACTGAACTGCTCCTGGGGACCTGACTAATGGCCCCTGTAAGCCTCATGCTGGCTTTAAAGAGAGACCATTGCTTTCCATTTGACAGCCTTGACCTAGGCCTGGACACAGACCCTTCCTCTAGTTACCATGGCCCAGCTGAGACCAGGCTGCTGCATCAACAAGATGCACTGAAGGTCCAGGGAGAGCACCTGCACACAGGTAGTCTCTGTAACAGGCTTCTCAGACGCCTATTGTAGGGTCCCCCATAGGGCTGACATTCCACCAAGCTCCCTGCCAACCCTCCTCATGGGATCAAGAGGAGAAAGGAATTCCCTCTCTTTCCAGCCAAAGGGCTTGGAGTTTGCCAGGCAGCACAGGGATGGCAAGGGGGAGGGCTTCCCAGGCTGAGCTAAAAGTGTGAACATTGGCCTGGGCCTGTGAAAGGGGTTTCGATGTTGGGGCGAGTTCAGTGTGGTTTCAAAAGGGTATATGGGTGGGGAGGTGCTGCCGAGGGGCAGAGACGCCCTGGAGACTCTGACTCTGATGAGTGGCTTTGGGGGCCATTCCCATGGCTTTGACTATGGTCCCGGGAGGTTTTAAAGGTGCAGGCTGTGCAGCAGGCAGGGGCCAGGGAGACCAGCAGGCTCCTGGATAAAAATAAAAAGATCCAATCACAGAGCTTCCCTCACGTTCTGGCAGCAGCTAGAATAAAACCACGCTGCCTTGAGACTTCCTCAAATACTTAACACAAGCCCCTGGTCGCATCTTCTCACCGAGGTGTGTAATCTCGCTTGTGGCAACAAGTACCAGGGAACAGGATCTGTGTGACTATAGCCGTGTCCCTCATAGTCTTTGACTGTGGGCATCAATGTGGTTACGAAACTGTCTTTTAATTTCTAGTTTGCTGACTGTTGTTAACAATGAACCAGTGTTTGATTTTAGCAAGTGCTTTTCTGCAGCTATGTAGTGTATTTTGCTACTGAATATCGATAGAATTTATTGCTATTAAACCATCTTTGTATCCTTGCTAAACTCTACTTGGTTATAATAAGAGCACGTGGGCATGTGTGCTTGTGTGTTTTAAAATATACTGCTATTCTTTTAAAAAGATTTTTTATTGATTTCAGAGAGGAAGGGAGAGGAAGAGAGATATAGAAACATCAGTGATGAGAGAAAATCATTGTCGGCTGCCTCCTGCATGCCCCACACTGGGGTTCAAGTCTCAAGCCCGCAAGCCTGGGCATGTGCCCTGACCAGGAATCGAACCATGACCTCCTGGTTCACAGGTCAATGCTCAGCTACTGAGCCACGCCAGCTGGGCAAAAGCCAATTCTTGACTCCTCTCTAACTCCATCTCCTGTCCTTCTCCCCTACAGGCACTCTGCTCACGGCCTTCCTTCCATTCCTGACGCATAGTGTTCCTGTTGCAGGGCCTTTGCACTGGCTGTCCCTCCGCCTGGGCCTCTTTTCCGGGGGTTAGCTCCTTTCTATCACTCAGGACTCAGCTCAAAGGACATCCCTTCCAAGAGGGCTACCCAAGTCACTCTATCTAGAGTAACTTCCCAGGTCATTCCATCCAGAGTAACTTTAGCACACACATAGTGGCCATCAGCTCTTCCGAATTAATAAGCCTTTTTTTAAAAAAAACTTTCAGCTCACACCGACATGGTGCTTGGGTGTGGTTCCATCAGTTGATTCGGATAAGAACGCAGAGGGGCTGGATCATTGGTGACATTGGAAGCAGGCCCCCAAGAAGGGAGCCTGTTTAAGGATATGGGGCAAAAGGCCCCACCTTGATCATAAGGACAGTCATAGAGAGTCTCCATGACTCTCTACCCCACTATCCTACTTTGTTTTTTCACAGCCCAATATCATATCTGCAACACTTAATTTATGTTTTATTTTTTAAACAAATTTTAAATGAAGAATGGATGTGTATTTAAATATAGGTATGTTCACCTTCAACAAACAAAGAAAACTATGTTTTTCACTCTTATTGATATAAAATTTTCAGACGACCACACTCATTTGAGTTCACTGACTCTTAGCAACTGGTGTGTGAAATTATGAAACTCACAATATAGTGTGCAGGACACTAGAACAATAAGGGTTAGCTGCTATCACTATCAGTATCAATATCAATGTCATTACTACCATAATCATCATTTACCAAGAATATGCCCAGACCTGAAGAAAAGCAGCTGGGAATAAGGTGTATTGACTCCTGATGAGTGAGTTCAAAGTCCCCCAGGGCTGCTGGCTGGATAGACTTCCACTTCCTTTGCACAAAAGAGAAAGCCCCAGAAGCTTAGTTGCAATGCAAGTCATTTCAATGGTTCCCCACACCCACTCATGGACTAAACTGAGCTGCCTCTCCTGTGCCCAGGAAGCATTGTTCAGCCGCCCGAGAGTACAAAGGGCTCTGACCATTGTTCCAAGGAGGCTGCCTGGCCCAGTGGCCATCAGCTCTTCTGAATTGATAAGCCTTTTTTTAAAACTTTCAGCTCACACCGATGCGGTGCTTGGGTGTGGTTCCATCAGTTGATTCGGATAAGAACGCAGAGGGGCTGGATCATTGGTGACATTGGAAGCAGGCCCCCAAGAAGGGAGCCTGTTTAAGGATATGGGGCAAAAGGCCCCACCTTGATCATAAGGGTAGATGGTGCAGGCCTCAGTTGCTGCCATATTTACGCTGGGGAGCAGGCAATCTGTGGTCAGATCTACAGAAGCAATGATTCCTCTTCAGTCTTTTTAGTCAATCACGAAACTGTCATCACAGCTAAACTTATCAAAACAAGATGAGTAGTTAACCTGGGTTTGAGGAATGGGATCCAATATAGCAGAGACTCAGCTTGGGATCTTGGCTCCTGGATGGGCCACCTTAGTTTCCCCATCTGTAAAGGGATCATAACTGTACCTACCTCTTGGGGTTGTTGTGAGCATTAAAGAAGCTAGTATGTATAGAGCGCTAAATTACGGTGCCTGGGCACACAAAAGCATGATAAAAGTGTTAGCTATTATGTATTATCTTTATAATTTAGGGAGGTGTGGGTTTCAGGGGAGAAAATACATACCCTCTGGAGCAAGCATGGGCTTCATTTCATTCAATAAAAGTTCCTGGGTGTCTACCATATGTCAGGTGCTGAATTCAGATGCGAGGAAGGCACAGCCCTGTCCTCAAAGAGTTCGTGGTCTATGAGGGAGAAAGTCACATAAACATATCCATCATAATATACTGTAACAATGAAAATTAACACGAGGTGCAGGTTTTGCACGAAGGAGGGAGTGGGTGAACTCTAGGGAGCCTCTGAGAAGGGACCTCTGAGCTGGGCTTCAAAGGTGAATGGAGTTCGCTGGAATGAGCAAGTGAGAGTTGGAGGGGTTCCAGAGAGCAGAGGGAAAGCACTATAAAGACACAGACTCGTAAAACAATGCACTTGGTTTTGCTGGACTATAAACTGTGGGGGTGGGGGAGGAGACGGTGGGAGATGTAAATTAAAGAGCACCACATACGTACATCTGATTTCATTTGCATCAATATTACAGCATCAAAGTGGAGGGGGCTGGAGATAGGTCAAGAAGAGATAGCTGTGGCCAGAGCATGAAAAGCCTGGTATTTACTTAGTTCAGTTGTGTGTAGGCTGAGCCAAGGCAGTGGTGGTGGGAATGTAGAGGGAACAAGAGGTAATTAGGGGGTAGCACTGTCTGGACTTGGCGATTGAGTAGATGTGGGAGGTGAGGGCGAGGGAGGAATTCAAGCTCACTCCCAGGTTTACCATGCTTGACACACAAGGAGGCTTGTGGTTTCACCAATGACTTTGTGACTATAGGAAGAAGAGCAGGTTTGGGAGATAAGACGGTAAGTTCTGGGTTGGACATGTTGAGTTAGCGATACCTATGGAATTTTTCGGGGGGTGGGGGTGGATAGGGGATGTAGGCAGTTGGAATGACACAAAGAGGTTCTATGATGTGAATTTATGGAGTTTGCCTGGAGGCATGTGATTGGAATAGAACCTGGATCCCTAGAATATAATATTGATAATGGCTAACATTTTACATGTGTGCTTGCTCTGTGCCAGACTGAGCTATGCACTTCACAGGCAAAGCTAAAGCAGGGACCACAGTCTCTGCTAACCATTTCACTTCTGGCAACTGGCACATAATGGGTGTGCAATACTTTTTGTTGAACGGATGCTCTCCTTTAGTCCTCACAACAATCCTGTGAGGCAGATATTATCAGGATCCTCATTTTATAGATAGGAAAATGATCTAGGAAAGGTTAAATAAGTTAACCAACGTCACCCCATTGATAAACAGAAGATCTAAGGTTCGAAGTCAGCTCTTTGCGACTCTAAAGTCCAAAGTGCTTAACTGCTCTGCTAGAATGTTCAAATCTGCCCCTAAATATGTATTTATGTGACCTAGGGTAAGACTCTAAGCCCTCTGAGTCGGTTTCCTCCGTCTACCAAGCCAGGAGTGGGGCCCGGCTGGTGTGGCTCAGTGGCTGAGCGTCAATCTATGAACCAGGAGGTCACGGTTCAATTCCTGGTCAGGGCACATGCCCTGGCTGCAGGCTCGATCCCCAGTGTGGGGTGTACAGGGGGCAGCCAATCAATGATTCTCTCTCATCATTGATGTTTCTATGTCTCTCTCTCCCTCTCTCTTCCTCTTTGAAATCAATAAAAATATATTTTTAAAAAAACCAGGAGTGTGTTTCAAAAATCTCAAAACTCCCTTTCCAGCTTTCAAACTCTGACAATATCTAATGATTTGTGAGGAAAGACACTGAAGGGCCCATAGCGCATCACTTAGGGTGGCAGGCCTGAGCCGTGTATGGGTGCTGCAGTGGTATGCCAAGTGCCAGGAGGCCGGAGCCGTCTGTCCCAGGTGCAGGCAGAGAGGGTGGATTTGCGTTGTATTTCTGTATAACAAATTACCACACGCTGAGCAGCTTCATTGCCTCAGTCTCTGTGGGTCGATCCTCTGTTCAAGGCCTCACAAGGCTGCAATCAAGGTGCTAGCCAAACTGCGTTCTCAGCTAGATGCTTGAACAGGGTAGTCTGCTTCTGAGCTCATTCTGGTTGTTGACAGAGTTTATTTCCTTGTATATCTAAGGGCCTGACTCTTTTATTTCTTAAAAAAAATTTTTTTTGTTAATTCTCACCCAAGGATATTTTTTCTATTGGTTTTGAGAGAGAGTGGGAGGGAGGGAGGGGAGGAGAGAGGAAGATTGAAAGAGAGATATTGGATGCCTCCCCATTGCGCCCCAACCAGGACCAGGGATGGAATCTGCAACCCAGGCACGTGCTCCTGACTGGAAATCGAACCCGAGACTCTCCGGTGCTCAGGTTGATGATTCAACCACTGAGCCACACAAAGGCATGGACACCAGGAGGCAGGAGTTATGGGGGTCACCCTAGGGTTGGTCATCCACAAGGGGTCACAACACCTGCTGAGAATTTAAACGTAGTAGTAAAACACCATAAATTGGCAATTCTAGATGTTGTCAGTGACAAAACCCTTCTGAAAAAAATCTTGTTTTACGTTCTAAACAGTTGCTGGGATTACTGTTGAACTTTTTTTTTTTTAATGTATATGTAAGCTTCATTTAAAAATTACTTACCATTTAAAGCAATGTATTCTACATGGAAGTAAACTCCCAGTTACACAAACAGCTGGTTCCCAACACAGGGACTTTGCTATGTGCCTTCACTTTAAAGGTCTGTAATGATTCAGAATCACTGTGATCATTTTGAATGCAGTGTCTGACTCTGGTAGCACACAACACTGTGTTTAAACAGCAGATCTGAAGAGAAGACAGCACAGTGACCTGAAAGACAAAGAAACGGAAGTTGAGGTCCTTAAGTTCTGTTAGTCTATATACCGTTTGGAGTTTTTGTGTTTCAAAACTAAAACCACGAAGCAGTGCAAACTGAGACAAGCAATGTTTTTATTTGGTAAGAGCCCATTTCAGTTAACACGTGAAGTATTTTATGAAACCGTAATGCTAACTTTAGAGTGGGAAGTTCTTTTAAAATTGTTCATTGTAAGACTAAAACATGTGCTAGACAGTTACACACACACATCTATATTAATGCATTAATACAACGCTAGCAGGGAAGTCCTGCTATTCTCCTTGTTTTCTAGATAAACAAGTTTCGGGGCACAGGACTGTCATCTGCTCAAGATCATCCAACCAGAGTGGCGGAGCTAGAGTTGAAGTCCGGGCACCGTGGCTCCAAAGCCTGACTTCTTAGCCACTAGTTAGAAAAAAACAAAGCAAAACCAATATCCCCAACAACCTTGGAGGCCAATGAAAACTCTTCAAAAACAAAACAAAACAAAACAAACACAAAACAAAACAAAAGAAAAACAAAAACACAAAACAAAAACCAGGCAGGCTTTCCATCCAGGAGCGCTCCTTTCTATTCCTGACCTGTCCCTGCTGGCTCCTAGGTTGCAACAGGTCGAGCTGACTCCGGGGACCTCCCGGAAGGGGCGCTAGGCCCAGGTTCCGCCCGGCCCTCCCCAGCTTCTGGCCCTTTGCTCCAGGGCAGGTCGTCCGGTCAGGCCGCGTCAGGAGCTCCCGAATCCTCTGTTTACTGTTTGGTTTCCATGGTGACACGTAGGCGCCGTCAG